TAATGTGTTGGTTTCAAAACTCAAACTCTAAACCTATCTTACAAAATAACATTTACTAATGAATCTAATCTTTTTTCTTTCTTCTTGTACCTCCTATATTTTAGATGGGATATTAATGCAATAGAGCAGCTCCCAGACTATATGAAGTTATGCTTCTTTGCTCTGTACAACTCAATAAATGGAATGGCTGCGGACATTTTTAGCAAACAAGGAGTGAATATCCTTCCATACACAAAGAAAGTGATAACATATCATTGATTCTTAGCCTATTTGATGTTTTTTTTTTTTAATCTGCAAATCTGTTGACTCACTATGTCATTCTTTTCAGTTTATAGATTTATATAAATGTTGTTTGTTGGAGGCAAAGCGATACTATAGTGGATACACACCAACTCTACAGGAGTTCTTCGATAGTGCAGTGACTACAGTAGGAGCACCTGCAGTACTATACCATGCTTATGCTCTTGTTTCGTCTCCAATTACGAAGGAGGGCTTTGGCTGCTTTGATCTGCAGAGAGATATATATCCTAATATAATTGAACATTAGTCAATGTTAGTGAGACATACAAATGATTTGGGAACATCGCAGGTGCTTAGCTTACTGTCCTAATCTCCTTCTGCTTCTTCCTGTTGATGAATTATGATTGAAGTTTTCTCATGATTTTTCTTCTTTTTGATATAGAATGAGATGAAAAGAGGCGATATTGCCAAGTCGATTCAGTGTTAACATGCATGAAACTAGAGCTTCAACCGACGAAGCAATTGAATACGTACATAATCTGAGAGACATAACGTGGAAGAAGATGAACAAGTATCAACTCGAAACCTCTCTTTTCTCTCGGACCTTCATTGAAGCAGCAATTAACATTGCAAGGATGAGTGAATTCATGTATATGCACGGAGACGGTCATAGCTCTCAAGATCAAGTTATGAGGAATCGCACATATATTGTTGTTACTTATAAATCCCATTGCCTAAAGGGGAAACAGAAGGCAAATTTCAAACCATTTTCGATTTTCATCGTTTGTGTTGGACGGGGAATATTGATGTATGCTTCATTCACTACTCCAGTTTGGCCATTGCACAATGAAAGTAATAAGCATATGTTGTCATTTATTGCCCGTTCTTCTTTATTAGAACACTGTTGTACAGTGCAATACTTATTAACAAGAGGATAACTTCTGCACCCAGGACACTTGCTGCACTGGAAATTGTGTTTATATATATTAAGGTTAAGACTTTGATTTTAATTCTTGTAAATCTTTTTTCTTTCATATTCTTCTCATGTTTAAAAGATAAAAACAAAAAAAACAAACAAACAAGAGGATAACTTCTAAATGTGAGATTATCTTTTTTTAATCAATAGTAAGTTTTTTACAATCTCATCTTAAAAACAAATTTAGTCTTTAATTTATTATAATCATTCAAAATAGTGAATATATGTACTACCTGCAAGAACTGGAGATATTTACTGATTATATTGAGAGGTCAGTAGCTAGCAGAAATAACAGTGTTGCTATTTCCTTTAAGCAATAATAACATCTCAATTTCATTTTTTTTTTACCCCAAAAAAGGAAAAATTAGATGAAACATATTGGACCAGTATGGCCTGTCCTTCTTTTGAATGGATCATGGATTCATGCAATCCAAATTCCAACCCATCCCACGCGCCACCTAGAAACTGAAAATCCCCTTCTTCCCCGGTGTTAGTTTGTAAACAAAGAGATGAAGATCTGGTAAGTGCAGAACTGAAATTTTCCATTGAACAAATCTGCTTTTTACAAGGAAATAAAAAAACTACTAAAAACTAAAAGTTAACTGCACTACAATGGAAAAACAAACTAGATTAAAAACCAACTAATAACTGCTACAAACTGAAAAAATAGTGTGACAGCATTTGTGTCACTGTCTTTACATTGCTGTTTTTCACTCCTCCTTGACACTAATGCTGCTCATCCCAAGCTGGTCTCTTAGAGTCTCAAATCTGAACTTGTGCGATCCTTTAGTGAATATATCAGCAATCTGGTCATCTGAATCACAATGCAAAACCTGAACTTCACCTTCATTAACCATCTCCCTAATAGAATGATATTTGATCTTGATATGCTTGGCTCTACCATGAAGAATAGGATTCTTAACAATTGCAACAACAGATAAATTATCACAAAACAACTCAATAGGATGTATCTGAGGTTGTTTTAAATCATTCATCAGTTTCCTAAACCACACAACTTGATCTACAGCAAGAGAAGCAGCAATGTACTCAGCTTCTGCTGTTGACTTGGCAACTAAGTCTTGCTTCTTAGAACTCCAACTAATCACCCCTGAACCAATAGAAAAACACTGTCCTGAGGTACTCTTCATGTTTTCCTCTGAACCA